ACTTGTGCATATGCTAGCACATTTGTTAAAAAGGTTATTCAGAATTGCAACATCAAGGCTAATCAGACTCAGGATACAATTTATTTTGAGGACAGGACAATTAGGTTATAAAATCAAAATAGTATTAAACAGCTGGAGTCAAATTACCAGGCTGGCATCAAAACTATGCAGTTAGGATCTAGATAGAATAGAAGCAGCTATTAAGAAAGGAAATCTGGAAGATTCTGTTAACACCCACAGTTAAGAATACTGGATAGCAGAGTTTGAAATCTGAGAAGAACAATAAATCACAATGCAATGGGTCATAGCAAGAGAGGCAAACTTTTGCAGATAGAGATATGCCTGAGTTCCTTAATTCCAGGTCTCATCTGTTCCTACGATTGGGTTCTTGATCAACATCTGTGTGCCCAAAATACTTGTTTTCCAATAAGGTTTTGAATCCTGAACATGAACTGACCATGATTCCAAAAGAGCTAGCTATGTTTAGCATATAGGGCAAAATGAAATAATCTATTGCTTTCATGCTATATTCTTTCACACTAGATAGTTATGGGTTGGGTATTTTTACATGAAAACTCAGACCTAATGATAGGAGCTCTGGTTGTGTAGTGCCTAAAGCATTTGATTACTAACCAGAAGTCTGGCGGCTCAGCAGAAAGATTGGGCAATCTACTTCTGTAGAGATATCGTCCCTGAAACCCAAGGAGGAATCGCTATGAGCCTAATGACATTGGACAAAAACCAAACCAAATCGGTTGCCATTGAGTCCACTCTGATTCATAGCGACTGTGGGACAGAGTAGAACTGCCACATAGGGTTTCTAAGGACATTATCTTTGTGGAAGAAGATTGACACATCTTTGTCCCATGCAGTGGCTGGTGGGTTCAAACCACCGACCTTTTAGTTTGTAGCCAACTGCTAAACACTGCACCACAGAATTTGTATAATATTGGTCAAGGCCCTCAGAAATGGAAAGTGATTTATACCTAACTCCTTGCTCGCAAACTGCTTACAGCCCATGCTGGATTGAAAACAGACAATTAAGTAGTATATCTCAAAGAGATGGATTGACACAGTGGCTGCAACAATGGACTCAAGTATAGCAAGGACTGTGGAGATAGCACAGAAGTGGGCAGTGTTTTGTTCTGTTGTGCATAGAGTTGCTATGGGTTAGAATCAACTTGACAGCACCTAGCAACAACAACAACTCATGAAAAGTGAGATAATATTTTGCTAAGACTTACACAACGTCTTCAAAAAATTAATTTACTTCAACCACTGCTCTAACTGTAGCCACTATTTATTAATGATTTTGTTCAAATGATACTGATTTAGGTTTTGACAAACATAGAGAATGCCATCTTTGAAAACTGGCTCATAAGTAGGGATTAAAAGAAAGAGAGAAAGAAACAGGAAAGGAAGGAAAAGAAGGAGAACAACAAACTCTGGGACTGAAAAAGATCCTTTTTTTAGGTATATTATTTTCCTTTCTTCAGTACAAATGCAGATACCAATATAGGATTCTTACTTCTGTTATCACATGGTTTGATGTTTACATTGCATCCTTAATTTCACTGACTTTTTAGAGGAAATTAAGATTTCTCAACCAACATTGATTAATGATACTGTTATGTCCTAGTAATTAATTATATCCCAGGCACTGCAACAGTTTCAGATTTGTTTTGATAAAAAACGAAATCACAATTGTTGGAACTCCATCCTAAGAAAGTAAGAAATGAACCTTGGACCCAGATTGAAAGGAACTTGTGGGTTAAGACTGGCCCAAGGACTACAATGAATCCACAGTGGTCTGAGAAATAGAGGCCAATAGAGAAATCTAAACCATCAGAATCTAACAAGAAAAAGAGCATAATAATAAACAAGAGGTAAGAGAGATTTGGAACCTAGATACGAGACAAAAGTGAGTCTGGAACTCTAGATAACAGCAAAGGAAGCGTAGTTAAGGAGATTCACCTAGACACAGATGACTTTTACAGGGAAGGGAGTCATTAGCAGGGTTAACATAATGTGGTTTTCATTCTCATTTAATATTTTAGTTATTTATAGCTTGCCTCCTTCCCAAAAATAATGTATTGGATAATATTTTATATCATGTCTTCGCTACGGATGATTTTTATTGAAAGAAAAACATCCAATTTGGCTTTTTTTTTTTTTTTTTAAAGAAGAGTGTTTCATTTTAAGTATTTTAAGTATTACTTAAATTTCAAGTCAATAATACATGCTCAAACTTCAACAGGGGCTTGATTCAAGAAAGAGAATGCCACCAAGAGCAAATGGACCTAGCTAGTCTCTACTGCCTACTCCTTAGAGTTTCATAAAGACATGAAAATTGAGCAGAAAGCAATTACCTGAGACCTTCCTAGTGAAAATTCTAATACAAGTGTAATTCAAATAATCTGTTCTCTTTGAAAAACTAAGTATCCTATATGCAGTGATTTGCAAAGCTTGGGAAATTAACATTGTTGAATAGCCTACTGTTTTTTATTTTTTCAATTATAACACTAATAAGAGCTTGTTAAGAAACAGTGGTTAAGTGCTCAGCTGCTAACTGAAAGATTGGTGGCTTGAACCCAGCAGCCACTGGAAGGAAAAAGATGCATCTATTTGCTTCATTAAAGTTTACAGCCTCGGAAACCCTATGGGGAAGTTCTACTCTGCCCTCTAGGGTCACTGTGAGTCAGAATTGACTGTATGGTTTAACTGCAGAACTACCCAACTCAAGTATTTGCAAATTGTATATACAGCACATTTATATTCAATGGACTTGCTTCCTATTCCTTCTGGAAGTACAGACCTTAGAATTCTCCCTTGCATCCCCAGTACCTAGAGCCCCCCAAAATAAATAAATAAATGTTGTTGTTGTTATGTGCCGTCAAGTTGGACCCGACTCATAGCAACCCCTCTTTGGGTTTCCAAGGCAGTATCACTATGGAAATAGATTGCCCAACCTTCCTTCTGAGGAGCGGCAGGTGGGTTTGAACCACCAGACTTCTGGCTAGCAGTCAAATGCCTTAGGCACTATGCTACCAGAGCTCCAAATAAATAAATAAGTATAACAAAACCAGTTACCCTATAGTTGATTCTGACTCACAGTGATGCCATTATGTGTCAGAGTAGAACTGTGCTATATAGGGTTTTCAGTGACTGATATTTCAGAAGTCAATAGCCAAGTCTTTTCTCTGAGGCTCTCTGCATGGATTTTAATTGGCAACATTTAGTTAGTGGCTGAATATATTAATTGTTTCACCACCCAGGCGCTAGCTAAAGCTCAAAAACCAAAACCCCCTGCCATCAAGTCACTTCCTATTCATAGTGACCCTTCAGGACAGAGTATAACTGCCCCATTGCATTTCCAAGGCTATAAATCTTTAAGGAAGGAAAATATCTCATCTTTCTCCCATAGGGCATCTGGTAGGTTCCAACTGCTTACCTTTTGTTTAGCAGCCAAATGCTTTTAATCACTATGCCACCAGGACTCTTAGCTAGAGCTCAGTAGATGTGAAATCATTATTGCTGGAAAGAAAGAATGAATGATAAGGGCAAGGAAGAGTTAGTCTTTTTTTTTTTTTT